GAAACTGACCCCCCCGCTCTTCTGCCAGACTTCTCTGCCACTGTGGAAAGGGCAAAGATCAAACATTTCCATGTTTCCCAAGAACATCTTTTTCAAGGCTAAAATCACAGTGATGTCAGGAGGGGCTGTTTTTTACCAGTTATCAGTTATTCCAAATAGGATTTGTGTTTCCTTTTTGAATGAACCCTCTTCACTTAATGTTGACTTTGCCACCTAAAGCCCTTTACCACGTAGTTTCTTTATAGCTTACTCAACATCATTTTCTTTCTTCACTGAGTATATCTTACCTCAGGTGTTTTTAAGGGACAGCTTCAAAGCAGGCGAGTTAGACTATGAGAGCACTTCACAAACCCTAAAGGACTGGCCACTTTACAATAAGAATAATTCTGCATGGATGTGGACTTCAGTTCTGATATCAGACAGAAAAAAATAGCGGAGAAAATACCAAAAGAAAAAATTTCACTAGACCTAAAATCCCAGTCTAACTGCAAAGCTTAAAAGGAAAACTCTTCCTCTTATTTTATGCTAAGTAGTTTGCAGATAAATGAGCAAGAAAAAAAAATTGCTTTACAAAGAATTCTGTAGCTATTTTAATCTCTCCAGAGACAATGGTTTTAAAGAAAAGAGAAACAAGTCCTTCCAACATTGACCCCTAAGGACAGTTTAATACAGGTTGAACGTCACAGATACGCACTACAAGTATTCCTCTCCTGGAGACCAGCTGGATTGCCCACTGCTCCCTGGCACTCGGATCACGTCCAGCCACCTAACTTCTCATTCTAAAGCTGCTTTTAACCTGCTACCACCTGTACGTAACACAGACCTCCTTACCACCACCAGCTAGCCTCCAAGGCCAACCCATGGCTCTGTAGATGTCAGCAGTTCCCTTACATTTCCCTGGTTATTTTTCTCTGACAGTGATAGAGAAATTTTGCATTGGCTGGAGGCCTCACTGTCCTTTAATTATGGAGAGGATTACTCATTGTTAGAAACTGAAATAGCAGTGTATACACTCTGTATTCTTTTAAACTATCTTAGCAAAGTTTTCTGGGTTCACCACAGATTTCAAAGCAACTGCACTTTAGCCTGACAAAAGCCAGAAGGATGTGTTAAATGAATGAATTGAGTCATTTTGGGTACACTACAGACCTCTGCCATCTGTGCTTGCAGCCTATTTTCTTCAGAATTCAAGGGCCTTCTAGAAATGCAAAAAGTGAGCTATTGAGATTGGACTAGTGTTTTCCTTTTCTCAAGTCAAGTAAAACTGAGTACAAGTGCATTGGGTTTGCATGGCAAGGTTTTAGTAGCAGGGAAGCTACAGGTGTGGCTTCTGTGAGAAGGTGTTAGACGTTTCCCCCATGTCCAACAGAGCCAATGTCAGATGGCTCCAAGATGGACCCGCTGCTGGCCAAGGCCAAGCCCATCAGCGATTGTGGTAGCACCTCTGGGATAACATATTTAAGAAGGGGGAAAAAACTACACAATCGCAGCTGAAGAGAGCAGTGAGAATTTGTGAGAGGAGCAGCCCTGCAGACACACAGGTCAGTGCAGCAGGAGGGGCAGGAGGTGCTCCAGGTGCTGGAGCAGAGATCCCCCTGCAGCCCCTGGTGCTGCCCATGATGGGGCAGGCTGTGCCCCTGCAGCCCAGGGAGGCCCACGGGGGAGCAGATCCCCACCTGCAGCCCGGGGAGAACCCCATGCCAGAGCAGGGGGATGCCCGAAAGAGGCTGTGACCCCATGGGAAGCCTGCGCTGGAGCAGGCTCCTGGCAGGACCTGTGACCCCTGGAGAGAGGAGCCCAGGCTGGAGCAAGTTTGCTGGCTGGGTTTGTGACCCTGCAGGGGACCCACGCTGAAGCAGTCTGCTCCTGAAGGACTACACCCCATGGAAAGGATGGACTCACGCTGGAGCAGTTCATGGAGGACTGTCTGCCATGGGAGGGACCCCAGGCTGGAGCAGGGGCAGAGTGTGAGGAGTCCTCCCCATGAGGAGGAAGGAGCGGGAGAGACAATGTGCGATGAACTGATCGCAACCCCCCTTCCCTGTCCCCCTGCACTGCTGGGGGGGAGGAGGTAGGGAATTTGGGAGTGAAGGTGAGCCTGGGAAGAAGGAAGGGGTGGGGGAAGGTGTTTTAAGATTTGGATTTATTTCTCATTATCCTACTCTGACTTGATTGGTAATAAATTAAACTGATTTCCCCAAGTTGAGTCTGTTTTGCCCATGACGGTAACTGGTGAGTGATCTCTCCCTGTCCTTATCTCAACCCATGAGCTTTTCGTTACATTTTCTCTGCCCTGTCCAGCTGAGGAGGGGAGTGACAGAGCGACTGTGGTGGGCACCCGGCGTCCAGCCAGGGTCAACTCATGACAATAAGGGAGAAAAGAAAAACAGAAGATGAAAGTATGAAGTTAGACGGTTGTAATAGCCACAAAACAATACAATATTCCTATCACAGTCCAAGTTTTCAGGGAGATGAAACTATATTTCAGATAAGAAAACTTGCATTATTTTAGTAAATGCTAGGTTATGGCTCACCATAGTGATACATTATCTCAGTAAAGAAGACCCAAAGGTAAGTAAAACTCTGCTACTGGATACAGTGGTTACATTTAAGCCTTCATCCTGAATGAGGCAGATGCGTCATCTTGAAAAACTAATTGATATTCCTCTCAGAAATACAGGCACAGGTGAAATCAGTCCTGAAGTAATGAGGGTATTAGTGGTAAATTGCACTTCCCTAATATGAGAAATGCCAAAATGTGGTCTTATACCAATATATTTTTTTCCTAAATGTATTCAAAGACTACATCCAGTGCTTATTTATTATGTGTCTAACATGGAGCTTTAGAGATTTATTTACATTCTAATGGAACTATTTCAGCCCCAACTCTGGATGATACACAGTACTTGCAACATATTTACTTGCTTAACTTAGTCTTTCTCTTCATGACTTACAGTAAGTAGCTTCCAGTTTTCTTCAAAATGTATTAATAATAACCTAGCGATGCCTAATATTAACTGTTGGTTAGTTCTGCTGATTAGCCTTGGCTGAACAATGGGTCACAAATGTTTTCTGTTTCTTGATGAGACTGGAGAAAGTAAATATAAGAATAAAGTTTCAACACTCTCCTAGAATAATCTCTATTGTTTTTTCAAAGCTTGCTGTGATTATTATAGTTAGTAAAATCATTTTATATGTTATATAGTTATAGAAAGAATACACAAAAGGGACACCATGGTAGGAGAACAATATTCTTTTCTTTTTTTTTTAATATGAGCAGACATTTCAAAAAGAAGGAATGAAGTATATGCTGAGTTCTGCTCATGTTTTGGCAATCATGCATTTACTTTAGCTCACATTTCAAGCACAAGATTTAAAACATCGATGCCAACTTTGAGCAAGCAAAAATCATGCACACATCTACCCTACTATGGGTGAAGGTTTGAGCATAATGGAATGAACGGAAATTTTAAAACTTATTTCTACTGGTTATCTGGTTTCTGAGAGATCATAATTCCTGACCTTTCTCCACAGTTTCGAGCATTAAACACAGTTATTTTTGGTTTTGTGAACCTATCCTATCTGATACTCACAAATCATATGTTTTTGTGGGCTGGGACCTAGAGGGCCAAACATCATGAGATATTCCATAAAGAGTCAGCAAGACTACGAACACTTCCTGATAACCCACATTATCAATGGCTTTAGGAGGTATCTGGAAAGTATGTTAAGAAATGAGATAACTTTTTGCAGTGTATTTTCTACTCATTTTCTTATTAAAGAGATGTTAATGCTTGAAACATTCTCACTGAAGTCCTTGATTTCAGTGGCTACACTATCAGATGTTTATTAATTTTTAAGAGGGCCAAATGACCTATTAAATTTTATTCCTTACAGCCTGAGAACATGTATCATTGATGCAAATGCCCCCAAAGCTACTGACCTGAACTATAACCCCAGAGCTAAATGTTTATGGCCTTTAGAGCAATTTTGGCTTATATATGATTTTTAGATACCAATACTTTCACACAATCGCAGCTGAAGAGAGCAGTGAGAATTTGTGAGAGGAGCAGCCCTGCAGACACACAGGTCAGTGCAGCAGGAGGGGCAGGAGGTGCTCCAGGTGCTGGAGCAGAGATCCCCCTGCAGCCCCTGGTGCTGCCCATGATGGGGCAGGCTGTGCCCCTGCAGCCCAGGGAGGCCCACGGGGGAGCAGATCCCCACCTGCAGCCCGGGGAGAACCCCATGCCAGAGCAGGGGGATGCCCGAAAGAGGCTGTGACCCCATGGGAAGCCTGCGCTGGAGCAGGCTCCTGGCAGGACCTGTGACCCCTGGAGAGAGGAGCCCAGGCTGGAGCAAGTTTGCTGGCTGGGTTTGTGACCCTGCAGGGGACCCACGCTGAAGCAGTCTGCTCCTGAAGGACTACACCCCATGGAAAGGATGGACTCACGCTGGAGCAGTTCATGGAGGACTGTCTGCCATGGGAGGGACCCCAGGCTGGAGCAGGGGCAGAGTGTGAGGAGTCCTCCCCATGAGGAGGAAGGAGCGGGAGAGACAATGTGCGATGAACTGATCGCAACCCCCCTTCCCTGTCCCCCTGCACTGCTGGGGGGGAGGAGGTAGGGAATTTGGGAGTGAAGGTGAGCCTGGGAAGAAGGAAGGGGTGGGGGAAGGTGTTTTAAGATTTGGATTTATTTCTCATTATCCTACTCTGACTTGATTGGTAATAAATTAAACTGATTTCCCCAAGTTGAGTCTGTTTTGCCCATGACGGTAACTGGTGAGTGATCTCTCCCTGTCCTTATCTCAACCCATGAGCTTTTCGTTACATTTTCTCTGCCCTGTCCAGCTGAGGAGGGGAGTGACAGAGCGACTGTGGTGGGCACCTGGCGTCCAGCCAGGGTCAACTCATGACAATAAGGGAGAAAAGAAAAACAGAAGATGAAAGTATGAAGTTAGACGGTTGTAATAGCCACAAAACAATACAATATTCCTATCACAGTCCAAGTTTTCAGGGAGATGAAACTATATTTCAGATAAGAAAACTTGCATTATTTTAGTAAATGCTAGGTTATGGCTCACCATAGTGATACATTATCTCAGTAAAGAAGACCCAAAGGTAAGTAAAACTCTGCTACTGGATACAGTGGTTACATTTAAGCCTTCATCCTGAATGAGGCAGATGCGTCATCTTGAAAAACTAATTGATATTCCTCTCAGAAATACAGGCACAGGTGAAATCAGTCCTGAAGTAATGAGGGTATTAGTGGTAAATTGCACTTCCCTAATATGAGAAATGCCAAAATGTGGTCTTATACCAATATATTTTTTTCCTAAATGTATTCAAAGACTACATCCAGTGCTTATTTATTATGTGTCTAACATGGAGCTTTAGAGATTTATTTACATTCTAATGGAACTATTTCAGCCCCAACTCTGGATGATACACAGTACTTGCAACATATTTACTTGCTTAACTTAGTCTTTCTCTTCATGACTTACAGTAAGTAGCTTCCAGTTTTCTTCAAAATGTATTAATAATAACCTAGCGATGCCTAATATTAACTGTTGGTTAGTTCTGCTGATTAGCCTTGGCTGAACAATGGGTCACAAATGTTTTCTGTTTCTTGATGAGACTGGAGAAAGTAAATATAAGAATAAAGTTTCAACACTCTCCTAGAATAATCTCTATTGTTTTTTCAAAGCTTGCTGTGATTATTATAGTTAGTAAAATCATTTTATATGTTATATAGTTATAGAAAGAATACACAAAAGGGACACCATGGTAGGAGAACAATATTCTTTTCTTTTTTTTTTAATATGAGCAGACATTTCAAAAAGAAGGAATGAAGTATATGCTGAGTTCTGCTCATGTTTTGGCAATCATGCATTTACTTTAGCTCACATTTCAAGCACAAGATTTAAAACATCGATGCCAACTTTGAGCAAGCAAAAATCATGCACACATCTACCCTACTATGGGTGAAGGTTTGAGCATAATGGAATGAACGGAAATTTTAAAACTTATATCTACTGGTTATCTGGTTTCTGAGAGATCATAATTCCTGACCTTTCTCCACAGTTTCGAGCATTAAACACAGTTATTTTTGGTTTTGTGAACCTATCCTATCTGATACTCACAAATCATATGTTTTTGTGGGCTGGGACCTAGAGGGCCAAACATCATGAGATATTCCATAAAGAGTCAGCAAGACTACGAACACTTCCTGATAACCCACATTATCAATGGCTTTAGGAGGTATCTGGAAAGTATGTTAAGAAATGAGATAACTTTTTGCAGTGTATTTTCTACTCATTTTCTTATTAAAGAGATGTTAATGCTTGAAACATTCTCACTGAAGTCCTTGATTTCAGTGGCTACACTATCAGATGTTTATTAATTTTTAAGAGGGCCAAATGACCTATTAAATTTTATTCCTTACAGCCTGAGAACATGTATCATTGATGCAAATGCCCCCAAAGCTACTGACCTGAACTATAACCCCAGAGCTAAATGTTTATGGCCTTTAGAGCAATTTTGGCTTATATATGATTTTTAGATACCAATACTTTCTGTTTATGTGAGCCACAGCTCTAGATGTGATTTATATCAGGTTTGGAATAACTTCTAAGTAATAAATCTCAGTCTTCTGTCTAAAAAACTATACCTAATCATAGCTTATCCATCACCAGAGAAACTGTCCATCTAAATAGAATAAAATTCTGGGGTTTGTTGCAAATGAGAAGATAGATAGACTTTTTGATGTATGCTTTATCAAATCCTTGGATATTGTAATATTATTCAGAAGAAAATTGTGGGATTTTAGAAAGAATTTTGTTTTAATTTAAACATGTTTAAGAAAGACAGTGGCTGCTTTGCCTTGCATGTCCATTAAAGAATCTGATGAAAATAAATATAATTTCCTAATATTATCTGAACTGCCTACCCTCGCTCACAGCCTACTTTGGATTTTGACTATTATGACCAATCATCTGTAATCAATTATATCAGCACTGCTAGAAGAAACCCAGAATAACATATTAAACAATTCTGCCGCTTTGATAAAAGAAGAAAGAAAAAAAAGCCAGAAAGGTTTAGATGCTAAGTCTGAAAGCTAGAGAGAAGCAAAAATACTTTTTTAACAATTTAAGAACAAGGCCTAAGAAAAGAGAACTGGAATGTTTAAGCAAAAATAAAATGTATTTAAACAGAAGTGTTTAATTTTTACAAAATAAACATTATCAAAAAGATTTAATTTCATAAATATTTTTTCACTAACACCCCCCTCCAAAAAGCATTTAGTCAAAATATTTCCAGTCACCCCTAAACTGAAGTCCCAGTTCTGCTAACAGTGTCATAGATGATGACTTGAATACTCACAGTGATGCTTTAAAAGACTTAGAACAGAGAAGTTAAATACATAGCACAAGTGTTTGAAGGATTTGAGACTGACAGAATAAATTTAATAAAACAATCAAGTCCTAATTTTGAACGGTTCCCCCAATGACAAAATTGAGGTGAGAGATTCATGCCGGCATTTCCAATTGAGTTCATAACCTCAAGGATTAACGCGATATAAATGTTTGAATTACACAATGTTAAAAGGCATATCTGATGCTGATTGGTGAAACATTTGCAGTACTTTTCCCCACAGGCTACTGTAGCATCTGCAGATGAAAAGGTGACTTAATGCTGAGAATCCAGGCAGAGCTAGTACAGGAAATGAATGTAAAAGCTGGATTACCACAAGCAAGGAACAAATTATTAGTTTACTTTGTGTAGCTCCCACAGAGGTAATATAAAAGAGTGAACTTTAGAAAGGCAGACTTGTGAGATAGAAAAAACTGTCTAAATGCAAGTAGGATGAAGTGATAAGCCTGAAAACATGAGATATTTTAGAGCACTTAAGAACACTGCTTGTGCATTAAGAGCAAAATGAGCAGTTCATTTTCTCTCCTCTGAATTGCCAGTAAGCTACAGAAGCAAAAAGAGGGACTGAGCATAGATATTGAATTAGCCAGGCCCAAAAAGAACAAAGCTGACACAACTGTCACAAAATTATTTCACAAAACAGATAACAGCCATTATCTGACCTCAGCAGCCGGGAAAGACCAACTCTGTCCACCAGCGTGTTTCACACTGACCGAGAAGCGCAGTGGTTCTGTGTCCCTATGGCTTTGCCAGGCTGCGCCCCAGTGACGATGCCTTGGACCTCCTGCGTCCTCCCATGCCCAGGAGCGCTCCCAGATCACCTCCCACGCTCTCTGGACCGAATTGGGGAGGGTGTGGGGGTGAGAGGCCCTTGCAGCACGCCCGATGCCGTTCTTCACGCACTGTGTGTCCTTGGGGAGATCTACGAAACCCTGCTATGCGGACTTGTAAAACTGCTTGTTGGAGGGAGAGAAGAAGGACCCTTTGCTGGGTCAAGAAACAGAAGAAAAGATGATTTATGGAGAAAGACAAAAAGATTGGGTTTTTTCTCAAGCATTGCAATTTTGCTTTCTCCACACCCATAGCCCTGTGGCCTACAGACATCTCCTAAGGAACGACATCTGGGTACTCACCAGCTGTATGGTCATCCAGAAGGTCCCAGCAGCCTCTTGTCCCCAGCTCAAAACAACCTGAACCCAATCACGTCATCCCAGCCAGCCTCGGCTTCTCAGCCCTCAAATAAACGCTGCTGGAAAGACGCGCTGGAGGGAAGGGCACAGCCC